TAATGTTTACTGATAATCTGCAAAAATTCATTAACATATTCTTATTAATTTAAAAGTTATAGCATGAAAACTATAACAAGCACAAAATGGTTATGAGGTCGGTCCTAGGGACTGAGCCCGTGCTGAAAGAGTTAACTCTTTCCATATGGGGTTGGTCGATGTGACCAACCGTGTAACCACAACCACAAAGTAACCATCAGAATTTCCATACTATAACTTTTAATATCTTTTGTTTATCTTTGTGACATTTGGCAAGATTTCAGTAAACATTACAAGTCCTTTGTACACAAAAATTAAGATGTTTTAATTAAGTACTTTTACCAAAGCTTTTTCCATGAATATATGAAGTCTGAGTATTGATTCTTCTAAGTGCAAAATTAAAAATATTTTTCTTTATCTGAAAATTTTCAGCTTTAAATTGTAGAACCTCTAAAACCTCCTAAATAAATATCAGTATTTTTTTAAAGTAAATCTTTATATTTTATGTGATATTTTCACTTCACTCACTCTATTTGGCTTTGTTAATTTGATGGACCTTGTGACCACCATAAAAAATTATGAAATAAATCTAAATTACCCTTTTTTCTTTCTAGAATGACTACAGATTGTAATAGGAAATTACAATTGTTTAACCTAAATAGTTTAGAGTTCATAACAGTACACATCTGATTATACTTAATTTTATTGTTTTATTGGTCTTTGAATAACTAATATTCCTGCCACATAAGCTGTAAATCCCACAAAGAATGCATAGCTCAAGTTACTGAGGTGAATGAAATAATGCATGAGCTTTTTGCAACCATAACTAGTGAATAATTTTTATTACCATTATTTCTAATTCTTATATTTTAGTTACTTTTGTAATAATAATCAAACGATATACATGAAAATAAGAAATATTGTACCTTTATCTCTTGTTTTTTGCTGTTGGTTGGTGATGAAATTTAAGCCAATGTTTTTCATGTTAATGGTACTAGTACACTAAATAATTTTTATATACTTAAATAATGTACTTAAGCACATAGGATAACAACACGCACTAATCAAACAATGTTCCATAACTATCATAATTTAACATCTTCTCTAAGGCAGACCTTGATAAATATTTTCAGATCCAGCAGCCAGCCAAAAAACGTAAGAGCCAGGTCCAATACAGAAAAATTATGGAATATATTGAGTCAGTTGTGTGGTTATGGTATGAGACATACAGTTTTACACTAAAAAACAAAGGGTTCTTTATTAAACTTTATTACATAACATATATTAAAGTTAAACTTCAATATGTGAAATTATTAAAATAGTAGATTAACTATAACTTAGTTGGATTATTGCAACTTATAAAAGAATATAATAAAAATAATCACTGTGATATTGATAGGCCAAGCAGGTTGTTTCAGAATATGTCTAATCTACTCATCACTGTAACATTGTACAATGATAAACAAAGGCCTTTTGGTATGCCTAACCTAACTTCACTACTGTGTGTACTGGAAAATGGGGGCTATATTTATTTACTTTCACAGCAATGAGTGCATGCTAATGATCACATGATATCAACAACCATTTAGTAGTATTGCCTGAACCAACTGTAGTTGTATTACCTTTGGTCCCGTCTGAGTCTAAACATATGTACTGATTGATTGAATTGAAAGAAAGAAGGAAAAACATGGTGTGAAATTAGTAATGTGTTGTGCAACTGCAGTGCTTCATTCCTGAAAAACATGAAGTGCTGAATCTGTCATTAAAATCTAAGAAACAAGGTTTGATTTAAGACTTGAATGTGAAAATAGTTCCAGACTTCCAAGAGTCCAGAACTGTTCTAGATTTGAGTTCTATTTAGTAGATCCCAATGCACAAATAAAATGGAGAAAAATACTAGGTGCCACGATGATATTTTTAGTTGCCGTGGCAACTTGATGCCTAGGATTTGTCAGGGCCTTCTTACAAGCATCTTTTTCTGCCCATGTCATGAGGTTTTAGTGAGTTACATTCAAAACTGAACTAAACTACTTTCTTCTCATTGCATATGAATAAATTTGGCATAAAAACATCCAAATTTTAATATTGTATAAGTTTTAACTTCTTAATTTTATGATAAAATATTTTTAAAAATCATCGATCTCCTATAGTATGAGAATTGTGACATTTTCTCCCTAGGCATCCCCTCTTTAATTTTTGACCACCCCTTTCAGAAGTAGGAAGTGTAACATAAATTATAATGCTCTTATTGCTCAAGCAAAGCCTAATTGTTATAGCCTTCAATCTTATTTGGTTAAAAGGAAATCAGACCCCCTCTTGCCATGCCCACCTGTTACACCCTGTTCTTTCTGACTTCTAGTACTCTATTATTTATAACCAACAGAAAGCCAAAGTTTAAATCTATCAAATGATGTATTATATTACATTGTTTTCTGTACAGATATTTCTCATGCTTTCAATTCAAACTTTAGGTGTGTTTTTCAATATTTTCTTTTAAATCAAGAAATCAAATAATATATAACACTAAAATTTGAATTATAATCTACAGTGTGATATCAAACTTATTGATATAAATTCATAAAATAGTAGTTCGGTAAACTTTTCAATGCAAGTCAACAAACAAGATGACATGGCCTCTGATCCATGACCTGTATGGAGATGGTTAAGTCAGGCCCACGTGAGAGTCCTTCAGTGGCTGTTACAGGACCAGTGAAACATTTGCACAGATGCACTGGATTGTCCAGTGAGACTGTCAAATTCCAGTTTCCTGAATCTAAGCTGATTGTTGAACGGGGATAACACAACAGTAGGTGTCCTCTACCACTTCCATGGCCATAGATACATCTGTTCACAGATGCATCTCTTCAGGGCTTGTGTGCTTGTTTAGACAATATGGAATTCAAGGGACTTTAAACAGTAGAGGAAGCTTCCCTCCATGTCAATCTCTTAGAACTTTTAGCAGTTCAATGAGCTATGACATAGGGTTTCAAATTGTTGCAAAAGAAGTTGATAATGCTTGATTTGGACAATTCCACAGTAGTCTCATACATTTCAAAGAAAGGGGGCACTCACTCCAGATCTCTTTGTTTTTGAACAGCGGATCTTCTCTTTTGAGCACATAAATCAGATCATTCTTGCTTGTCATGTTCTAGGGGTAATGAATCTTGTGGCCAAGCATTTATCTTGTCCTAACAGAATTCTTCGTATGGAATGGATGCTTCATCCTCAAGTTTTTCATTGGATATGCTCTTGTCTAGGGACACCACAGATCGATGCTTTTGCCACACACTGGAATGCTCAGCTCCTATCCTCACCCTCTGGTATTGGGAATAAATGCCCTATGTCAGGATTGGACAGGTCTTCATCTTTATGTGTTCCATTCGATTTCTCAGCTCTCTAAGGTTCTGGCACAGATTTGCTCCATACCCTGTTGAGTTCTTCTGGTAGCACCATATTGGCCGGGTTAGCCTTGGTTACTACTCCTCCAGTATCTTCAGGAGTGCACACCTCTTCCCTTTCCTCCCTGGCCATTTTTCTGATGTTAGCCTTGTTGACCTTTTGAGGTTCTTAATTGGGATATCACAGTGGTTCTCAAGGAATTATCATGTCCACCGTTTTTAACCTTTGGGATCATGTTCACTATATCTTCTTTCTCTTAATACATGTTTTCCTATGTTATTGGCTAGTGGGCATCGATGCTCAGATGTGTTTGTGCTTCATGTTCATAGGACACTGTACCATTCCAACTACGTTCTGTTCTATTCAGACAGATCCTTTCTACCTAAAACTGCAGCAGGTAGAGAAGGAGATAAGACTTTTTCTCCTATTCATC